TTAGGTATTTCGGTTTGTGGTAGAACAAACCAGTACACAAGGAAAAATGAGGAATAAAAAAAAAAAAAGAACAAACAACATGAAACAAAGGCGAAAACAATCGTCCTGAATTCAAGCTCATTTATTTTACCAGCGCCCTCTTAAAGGACTCCAGATCAGTTTAGGGTGAAACCTAGGTAGGTTTGCCTGGCTCCTTAGGTTTATCTTATATATATATATATATATATATATATATATATATATATATATATATATATATATATATGTTTCATTAAAGACGACAGACAAGTGACTGTGAATAAGCTTTTTATTTAATTTTACTTATATTGGAACATGTATTTTCTCTTCTGGACACAGAGTGAGTTGAAACTATCCAAATGTTCTGTAATTTTAATAATCTACTACAAACATATTAAAACCGCTAACACTATCCTGAAAAATGACAACACACCAGCAAATATCAAATTGACAAAGAACGAATATTATATATGAATCCAAACGCCTCTTAAGGAACTGTGTTCCTGATAAATCCAAATTCATAAATAATTACATCGGTCACACTACTACATGCCTATCTAGACGCCTTACGTTACACCTCTCCGACCATAGCTCTATTAGAACCCATTTAAACACACACACAAACTTACCAGACTCCATCAGAAACATACCAGTAGAAAACACAAATATAATAAACTTATCCACACGAAAAAATTTATAAAAAATAACGGAAGCCTTAATAATAAAAGAAAAAGGCCAGAAAAAGTGTTCGAAAAATAAAACATCCCTATAAAGCTAGATACATACACATAATCCATAAACCCAATTAAAATGCAAAAATAAAATCATCCTTGATAATGGCTAAAAGTATATCCGAAAGCGCTTGGAATTACAGAACATTTGGACCATTTCTACACACTCTGTCTCCAGAAAAGAAAACACTCCTTCGAATACAAGAAAAATTTTTAAAAAAAGTGCTTAATCACAGTTTCCTGTTTGTCCTCTTTATGAAACATTCACTGGGGGTGGCTGTCTAATTACACAATATATATATATATATATATATATATATATATATATATATTCATGGTAATACTTTCATGGTAATTGTTCTGATGAGTTCTCTGCTATTGTACATAGATTTATGAATTTAAGCGCAGTACTATGATTGCGCCGAAGTTTCATCAATTTGCAGTTGACTAGATGCAGGGTAAATTCGATTTGAACAGTTTCTTTTCTCTAACTTCTCATTCGTGGAACTCCATGTCGACGCTATGCTTTTTCGCCAACATTAATCTGCAAAAATTTAATGCAATGTCCCTTTCTCTTCGTGCTCATTATTAATGTTTTTTCAAAAATCTTCCCTCACCTTGTAACGTCTTGAGTCCTACTGTCTTTATATATATATATATATATATATATATATATATATATATATATATATGTGTGTGTGTGTGTGCGTGTGTGTGTTTGTGTGTGCGTGCGTGTAGGGGGGGGTTGTGTGCGAGAGTATTTGTGTGTGTGGAAAAGATTTTAGGCAAAAAGCGGTTCGTAACTACAGGTACTTTATCAAGGTAAATGGAGAAATTTTCTTTAAAAAAATTCAATAGCGGACCTTCATTTTATCATTTACTTATGAGAGTATAAAATAAACATTAAATAGTTGTAAAATATATAATTAAACATTACGAAATTAGTGTTTATTTCTCAGACATTAGATATACATATATATCTGTGCGTCTACATAAATTTCATTCGCCTATTTATCTATCTATCTATCTATCTATCTATCTATCTCAGTCTGTTCATATCTATTTATCGCAGTCTAATCATATCTATCTATGTATCTGTGTATGTATGTATCTATCTATCTAATTTGTTCATATCTATTTATCGGGGTCTGTTAATATCTATCTATCTATCTATCTATCTATCTATCTAATCTGTTCATATCTATTTATCTGGGTCTGTTAATATCTATCTATCTATCTCAGTCTGTTAATATCTCTCTATCTCTATCTATCTATCTATCTATCTATCTATCTATCTATCTATCTAAGTCTGTTAATATCTCTCTATCTCTCTCTATCTATCTCTATCTCTCTCCATCTATCTATCTATCTAATCTGTTCATATCTATTTATCTGGGTCTGTTAATATCTATCTATCTATCTATCTATCTATCTATCTATCTATCTATCTATCTATCTCAGTCTGTTAATATCTCTCTATCTCTCTCTATCTATCTATCTCAGTCTGTTAATATCTCTCTCTATCTCTCTCTCTCTATCTATCTATCTCAGTCTGTTAATATCTCTCTCTATCTCTCTCTCTCTCTATCTATCTATCTCAGTCTGTTAATATCTCTCTCTATCTCTCTCTCTCTCTATCTATCTATCTATCTATCTATCTGTGCATGCCTGTGTGTGCATACATGCATATGCACCTATATGTATGTAGTTGTCTTGAAAGCTAAAAAGTAATTTAATTCGAACATTTTAGTGATTTTTCTACGAAATCGTTCTACGAAATGAATAAAAAACGAAATGACAAAAGGCGAGCAAATAATCTAAAGAAAACGATATTCGATGATTAAATCACTCTGTCTGACAAAATTCAGACACGATAAAAATCTAAATCCGAAAGCCATTTGAAACAGCAAAAGGCCGACCCAATGAGGCTGCGATACAAATCGTATCTGACGAAAGCGTTTCAAATTAAATAATAGTAAAAACCGAAATGAAACAAAACGAAACAAACATTAAATGGTCGTACAAGTGCACACTAGAATCCGACAGACAAATACGTGTGCAACGCAGCTAGTGAATGTCTAATGAATAGAAAACTACTCCAGCAGATTGATTGCTACCGACTTGTGGATGAGATCTTCACCGGGTAGATCCATGCTTGGAGTCAAAACTCAACTAAACAGGCCGAGAGTTCGATTCAGAGTAAAAATTAAAGAAAAAAAACAAAACAACGTGACCCCATGTTATTTGCATCAGTTTTGTGTAGTATCTAGGTAAATGTGTTTTAGCATTTTCGTCTAACATATCCCTTAATAACTTCTTACTTGTTTTATTTTGTTTTTTTTTCTTATCATTTACTTTTAAACGTATTCGTCAGATAAGATTTGTAACGCAGCACAATTGGATTGGCTTTTTTACTGTTGAAACCTTTAGCCTATATATATATATATATATATATATATATATATATATATATATATATATATATATATATATATATTTTAGCGTTTCACGATGGGGTCCAAGTTTAACGTTAATTACTGTGTAGCGAGTACGATTCCTGCGGCGCGCTCAAAATTTGTAGGCTTGTGTCTGCCGCATTTAAATTCAAATAAATCGGTATGTCATTGTAACAATCAAACGTGTCGTAAAATTATGAAAAATAAATCATAACATTTAAAAAAAAAAAAGAATCACATTACAACCAAAAACGTTTACGGCACCTCACTTCTCTTCTTTTTAATATATATATATATATATATATATATATATATATATATATATATATATATATATAGTCGACTCTCCCGTCGAGATTTGACGTATGAGGGTCGTCAAGCAGATCAGTTTCCAGGAAACCGACAGCCCGACACCGGCACATGAGATTTGATTATAGTGGTGAAGGCCTCGTGCAGGACCATCCACACTTTTTGAAGGGACGAATACAGAGACCTGGTGCACCGAATGCCACGAGGTTCTCAAACGACCGTCCGCAGGTTTTGAATTCAGAGTTGACCTTCTCCTAGACCAGTTGCCATCCAAGGCTATAGAACCCAGTCTGTCCTGCTATTTTACCCATAGCTGGAGGGAGAGGAAGAGGATTCATACCTTTTCTCAAGGGTATTTGTACGTATATATATATATATATATATATATATATATATATATATATATATATATATTGGGAAAATGTGTGACAAAAAAAAAAAAAAAAAAAAAAAAAAAAACGCGTTTCATTCTCTAGGATATCAGCGGATTAAATTTGGTGATCATCCACAATAAATTTGTGAATCCTTTAATCCGATGAAGTAATAAAGGATAAAACGCGTCTCAAGAAAGCCTTTTTTTCACTTTGTCATAAATTTTTCTTCAATATTTTTCTTGATATGTAAAAATATATTTCATTATCTCAATGTGCACTTTTATATTGACATACGCTCTGATATCGTTCACCCATGAATATGCCACACTATAAATATGTGAATATTTTTACTTAGATTAGCCGAAGCATATATATATATATATATATATATATATATATATATATATATATATATATATATATATATATATATATATGCCTTCATATATATAGATTAAATTCTCGTTTTTGCAAATATCATCGTAAACGGACCAATACATCAGTTCTCTCCCACTTAGGATTTGAATAATGGCGAATGTCACCCGAGTAATCAGTTTGTGACAAGGAAAACCCTGATTTCAAAACCGCTATGCAACTGTGTAGAACCACTGAAGAGATGACGAGTTCACTGTTGTACTCTAACATCATGAATAAAAAACGAATTCAAGCCAGTATAACATTGATTAGTTTAAAACAAACGCGGGGCACTTCGTTCCCAGAGAATTAATTTTAAATTCAAGGAATGAATTTTGAAGCATAGAAGGAATTGAAAATATTTCATATATATATATATATATATATATATATATATATATATATATATATATATATATATGAGTAAATTGGCAGGAAAAAATACTCCATAAACAATCTCAGAATGGGGTAAGAACGGTGGAAACCAAGGATTGCACTGGGGAAGATGTTATGTATGATTCTGAGAGTAGCTAGTTTAGAAATCCACATTCATTTATTATTCGGTTTGACAAATTGAGAAGAATTTCCACCATTTTGAATGGAAGAAAATCATTTAAATGCTATTTCCAGTGTGGGAAAAGCAAGAATCAATTGCTGGTTTCCACAAAATTTTCAGTTAAAAGAAAACACACGGCTTGAAAAAATGTAACTGAGCATGTTCGTTTGCATTCATTAGAAAAATATATGTCTACAGTATTCATATATATATATATATATATATATATATATATATATATATATATATATATATATATATATATGCTAAAATCTGAAAACATGCTGCCAATACACACACACACACACACACACATATATATATGTACGAATAAAGGGGAGGTATAAATGGAGTAAAGATCCGATAACCAAAACTACTAATTTTTTAAAAATTGCTCAATACAAAGTAGAGCAAGTAATATTTATTCAAAATTTATAACATAAGCATGTTATAACATCACTACAAAAATACCCATTTTATTTCAACATTTTGGTGCCTTATCAAGTGATGGTGTTAATTGGTAAATCTGGAAACAAAATGCTTATTTTTTTAGTTATGTTATAACCTGCTTATGCTATAATTTTTTAATACATCTATCTATCTATCTATCTATCTATCTATCTATATATATATATATATATATATATATATATTCGAATACAGAGGTGTCATAGATGGAATAAAATACCGATAACCAAAAACAATATTTTTTTAAAAAGTGGTCAATACAAAGTAGAGCAAATAATATTTATTCAAAAATTATAACATAAGTTTGTTATAATGTCACTACAAAAATAGCCAATTCGTTTCAACACTTGTGATGCATTATCAAGTGATTCTGTTGATTACGAGATAAAGTATTTTTTATACAATATATTTAAATGCACAGCATATAGAGAGAGATACAAAGACAGATTTTGTAAGAATAGCTAAGAACAGAATATGGCCAGACAACAAAAAATAAGAATAAGAAAGAATGCTTTTCTCTTCATTATATAAATTACAACTCTACAGCAGTACATGATATGTATTTACAGTTTAGTATTGTTACTGTTACAATAAGCGTTTGGTTGCGAAAGGAAAAGAATAACAAGGATTAGGTTTTAAAACAATGTGTCTTCTAGAGTTGTCGGAAAATTGACTCACTGCTAATTTCTGTTGCCGATCGTTAGGATGGCGATCAGTTGTAAGAGTAGCAACGGGTGTTCACCTATTTCATGTATTGGTCTGAACGAGGTCACATGATATCGTCGTTCGCACGTGATGCTCGCTCGAGGTCCTGGTGATGGGTCGATTCTTGGATTGTCAGGGTAACTTTAAATTGGCGTAGCTGGGAGTCCTGTTCTATGAAACGGGGCCGTGGTGACGACTGCAAAGGGACTGCCTGTAATGCCAATGTGACAGTTGTGTGTTGCCGAGGTAACGTGATTGGTGTAGCTGGTTTTGCTAGTGTTATACGAAAGGTTGTTGGGCCGAGTTGGCTGTATCCTTACAGAGTCGGGGTCGCTGCTTGCGGATTCGGAGTCGATTTTCTGCGGAGTAGGAGTTGCTGTGGTGAATCGGGTTTGCCTAGATGATAGCATTAGCGACGAGGAAGACATGTAAGCTCGTGGGGGGTGTTCGACGTATAGATGATATTTTGTATTACGTGTGTGGAGAGTCGGGTGATTTGTCAAGTCTGGGAGTTATAACGGTCGTTGAGAGGAGCGGCCATGTCGATGTGCGGAGGCGCTGCAGCGGCCTGCGTGTCGGCAGGTGGCCCACTGGACCGCAATTTCTCGTGGTCGATATGGGAGATCTGCTTTTAAGCAGATCTGGCATTACCCAGGACATCACATTTTCGGCACGAACGTTCGCGATTGGCCAGTGTCGCTTTCACTGCGGGGAAATGATTTTAATTTGACACTAACATCAATAGGGGGTGGGAGAAGGCGGGTTTTCAATCTATCTTATCTTAAATTTAGCTAGCCACACTTAGTGACCCAAACATACATTTCTTACACCAAAACAACACATTCTTACTACAGCCACCGTAATGCCTCAAACTCAAAAGAGGAAAGTTCATCAGAGCAATTGTTATGAAAATATTAATGGAAAAGCAACAGTGACGCTACATTACGTCGATGGGATATTGTTTGATGTCATGACCAATAAAATTGCAGATTGTTATATACTGTAGCTATGAACACTAATCCTCATAAATACGTTGGACACTATTGTAAGTGGGGGTAATATGGTGTCTAAGTAGTCCACCTCCAGCAGTGGTTTACCTACTTCACGCCGCTGGCGAGTATTGTATTTTGTTGATATTATAAAGATTACCATTTCATTTCCAACCTCTGTTCTGGTTATTCCTCATATAGTAACGTTTTGTATGTTACAATACAGATTCTTCTTTGGATTTTATCAAGAACCTCTAAATATATAGCAGGAGCCCCTGACCGGATGTGGCACCATATTCAAAGCAAGTAGGAATGGTATTATATATATATATATATATATATATATACACACAAAAAAAACAACGCAGTTTTACTACATACACCGCAATGTCTCAATGTCGAAAGAGGAAAGTTCATCAGAGCAATTGCTTTGTAAATATTTATGGAAAGGTCACAGTGAAGATACGTTACAGCGGGGTGGGGGATTGACTGAAGCCGAGATTTCATGTCAGGACAAATAAGATTGCAGAATCTTCCTTGGATTTTATCAAGAATCTCTAAATATATAGTAGGAGCACCAGACCAGGTGTGGCACCACATTCAAAGCAAGTAGGAATGGTAGACTGATAAATAAGCAATATAGATTCTTTAGAAAAATGTATAAACATATGTTTATATAAATAAGAGCATCCGACTTGATTGAACTCATCCTATTGAATGCTTGTGAGCGTATGATGATAAGGCAGACAAAAACATAACATTGTTAGGTCACCCTACGAAACGTCTAAGTCCTCCGTCCACTAGCTCAATATCCTGCTGAGGACTGAACAACAGTATTGCGGAGCAGGTATCAATGAATGTGAGCATTTCTATAAGAGAAAAACAGAAAGTAATTCAGATTCTGAAATAATGACTTTTCATTCAGTCTATGAAAAGTTCTCAGCCTAACCAAGAATGTCATTTAATATCAGCTTCAATATTTGGTCATTTGTAAGATTTTAGGAAGCTGATTAGGCTGAAAGTATTTCAGTCCCTTCAGATAATGTTCTCTAGAGAAATAGGCACCCATCTCTGATTATAGACAAATTCCACACACACGCACGTTATCGATTCCAAATCCAGGTTCAGGTAGAATCTTAACAAATCAGACAGAGACAAATGACAAACAATAAGTGATAGAGAGGGAGAGGGAGTTAGGAAAAAGAGTGAAAGTGATAGAGAGAAAGGCAAAGAGAGTGTTTATTAGATAGAGAGAGAGGCCCGAAAGAATGTCTTCTAATATCAGAGAGTTTGAGAGAGAGAGAGAGAGAGAGAGAGAGAGAGAGAGTGATAGTGAGAAGATACACACCTATCTCTGATTAGAAGAGAGAGAAACAGAAGAGAGATTCCAAATAAATCAGAAAAAAAATGAGAAAGGATTGACAAAGATGAAGACAGAGAGAGAGAGAAATAATGCATTTGAAGCTTAAATAGAAATTTAGAAAGTTCTCATCTTTAAAATGATATAGCTCTCATCTTAAAATGAGTATATATATATATATATATATATATATATATATATATATATATATATATATATATATATATGGAGTTTAAATATGGTGGTGTTTAATGTATATGTGTAGTCTTATTAGTTGAACAGAACTAATATATTTACATACGTTCTCTGCTTCCTTGACGTATTATCGAAGCGTATACGAATATGCGTAAACGTGTATACATGCCAACTATTACAAATTCAGTTTAGATAGAATCTTGTATTATTTCTCTGGCATTCCGTAAAAGACGGAGTCAAAAATAGATAGATAGATAGATAGATAGATGGATAGATAGATATGAACAAACTGAGATAGATAGATAGATAGATAGATAGATAGATAGATAGATAATGATAGATAGATTCAGATATATGGATAGATAAGATATGAACAAACTGAGATAGATAGATAGATAGATAGATAGATAGATAAGAACAGATTCAGATATATAGGTAGAAAGATATGAACTGACTGTGATAGATAGATAGATATGAACAAATTGAGATAGATAGATATGAACAAATTGAGATAGATAGATAGATAGATAGATAGATAGATATGAACAGATCCAGATATATAGGTAAAAATATATGAACTGACTGTGATAGATAGATAGATAGATATGAACAAATTGAGATAGATAGATATGAACAAATTGAGATAGATAGATAGATAGATAGATATGAACAGATTCAGATATATAGGTAGAAAGATATGAACTGACTGTGATAGATAGACAGACAGATAGATAGATAGATAGATAGATATGAAATGACTGAGACAGATGGATAAATAGATAGATAATGGTAACAGTGAGATAGATAGATAGATAGAGAGAGATAGAGAGAGAGAGAGAGAGAGAGAGAGATAGTGAGATAGACGATGCAAAGTAGGGTATATAGATAAATAGTGAGTATACTGAAATAGATAGCTATAATTAGCTACGTATGTACATACATCCATACATACATGCGCATGGATAGATACATAGTGATAATAAATACATCGCGATAGACAGATAGATAGATAGACAGACAGATAAATAGATAGTTGTAATAAAAGCATCGCGATACATAGGTAGATAGATGTTACTAAGAAGAAGATATTTAATATCTAGATAGAAAAGACAGATGGAAATAGGCTAACTAGAGAGACAAACATCACGAAAGGTTGAGGAGAGTTTTCAGTAAACTAGATAAATAGATATATTATGTTATAATTTTCGAATAAATAATTATATTTTCTCTACTCTGTACTGAGCACTCTGTTAAGAATAACAATTGTTGGATATTGAAATTTATTCCGTATACACAATCCTATACTTGCGTATATATATATATATATATATATATATATATATATATATATATATATATATATATATATTATTTATTTAAAAATTATAACATAAATATGTTATAAAATCACTACATAAATAGCCATTTTGTTTCAACACCTCGGGTGTCTTATCAATTGATGATGTTGAATGTAGACTGTAGAATAAATGTTATAAAAGGTTAAATTAATTAACCATCCCTTGTATTTTGATTGGACATTTCAGCTCATGTGACAGCGTTTCCCCTTACGAGGGGTGGTTAAATAATTTGAACCTTTTAAAACCTTTATTCTACAATCTACATTCAACATCATCACTTGATAAGACACCAGTGGTGTTTAAACAAAATGGCTATTTTTGTAGTGATTTTATAACATATTTATTCAATAATTTTTTAAATAAATAATTATATTCGCTCTACTCTGTACTGAGCACTCTTTTAAAAATAGTAATTGTTGGTTATTGGAATTTATTCCGTATACATCAATCATATACTTGCATATATATATATATATATATATATATATATATATATATATATACAAACAGACAAACAAACGCACAAAAAACACACTCACAAACACTCACACACACACACATATATATATATATATATATATATATATATATATATATATATATTATACATATATATATATACAGAAAGAGAGAGAGACACAGAGTGTGTGTGTGTGTGGGGAGAGATAACGAATTGATCGAGATATAAAACAGTATCTGAGCCGAGAATAGTCCGGCTTATATGTATTAGGATTTGTTTAATTTATCTTCAACTTTATCGATCTGTTTCTTTATATCATTTTTTTTAATATGTATTCATTTTACCTCATTCCCGACTGCACATATATCTTGCATTTCACTTTTGAGAACTTGATAATAGAAAAAACAAAACCGTCCTGTTCTGATTAAATGTGTAAAATTAGCAAACACAGACATGGCTTGCTTATCAGCTAGTTTTACTACGTTTCTCCTATTCGACCGTTATTTCTTTTATTTATAGATGATACAAACTATATTTATAGACAACAATAATCAATTTTCTACTGTTTGCTCTGAAGTAGACGGTTCATAAAAGAAATGTATGCTTAGACACACCTCCAGATCTTCGCATATTAACATGGTGGCGTTGGAAAGACGTCGGAATGACGTCGGAATGTTTTCGGCTCAGCCCACTTTACAATATCTGACCAAATGAAAAGACATCAGATTTTGGAAAGGAAGGGGTTATTAGTCAGGCTGCTAACTTTTCATCGCCCTTCGTAAAAGTAAGTTCATCAAGTTTTGGATAAACCATAATTTAAATGTATCCGATAATTAACGTCATATCTTTTTTATCGTTTCACCCCAAGGAAGGCGATAAATCCACGAAGAAGCAACGGGTTTTAGGGAATGAAAGAGAATGAAAACACTTTAGTGAGGAATATGAAAAGGACAAAAAAACAAACAAAAAAAATCAGTGTCCGGGAAGACAGATTGAGGTTGCATTTATTTTTTCAAAAGTTGGAATTGACAGAGAAGCAAGAAATAGGAAGGGAATACTACAAGTGAGAAGTGTGAGAAAAGAATCTGTTAGAACAGAAATGGCGATTGCATCAACAGTGTTGCATCACTTAGTGCCTGAAAAATTTTCGGCTTGACTATTTTCATGCACCATGCCCAACAGGACGTGGACGGCCATGACTCTTCACAGCTTCCTATTTTTGCAGCTCTAGTAATGTGTATCTCTTTACTCTCTCAATCTCATTTCCTGCTCCGCTATGAATTTACACAAGATCATTAGTTATATGATCCGTTGTTTCACGCTGTCACCTTGCCTTCAGTATTGAATTCTCCAAGTCCCTTTTATTTATTATATGCACCAGATATCTTTCTGATTCTAAGTACAAGTGCCATTTTAATTCCCAGTTACTTTAAAACTTTATTGTTGTTCACGTGTTCAGTCTATGGCATTCCCAGCATCCGTTTGTAAAAAAACACATTTCGACCGCTACGAGTCTCCTCTTCATGCGTGAGGAAATTGTTTAACATTAACTTTTATATAGGAGGATTGGTGTCATAGCATGTAACTACATGAATACAAAGACCGTGGAAGAGGTAATGATACATGTGTTTGTTTTACAATCTATTCTGTTCATTTCTTTTGATTCTACCCGTGTACCCGTATCTATGATTCTCACCAACTGAATACAACTTAACTTATATCAAATATTCCTATTTCTCTGCCACTGCGATGAAAATGAATGCATATGCTTCTTTTAGTTACAGCAAGCAGGGTAATAAAGCCACTAACATTTGTTGGGAGTGGGGAAACAATAATAGTTTAGTGATAGAAGTCTTATTAATTAACCCATACCTGGGGGAGAATATGTGGTTTCATATTCTAAGAGCACGTAAGTGAATATAACAAACCCAACAGAAATTGAACCTCAGCTCTCTAATTAACAATTTATTTATTATCTCACCTTCACATCCAAGCTTAAAGCACATGGTATTCCCAAGCCGTCACCCATCTATATACTGACCAGGCTTGACGTTGCTTAAGTTCGTTGATCGGACGGGAACCGGTGTTCCAACGTGATGTGGCCGAAAGCTGGTAGAGAATTCCACATGCGAGAAGTGCGATAGAAGAAACTGTTAGCATAGAACTTAGGGTTACTCTAGCCATTTCCATTGTAAAAGAGAACTTGAAAATTCTAAGTACATATCCGAAGGATATTTTTTTTTTTTTGTTGTTTTTTGGAAGATTTCATACTTTGGCCGAGAACTTTTCAGCATGTTTTGCTTAAAAATACAGCAACGCCTGAGAGGAAAAAAATACTTTTAAAAAAAAAATCGGCAATATTTAACTTTCGTGTCAACAAAAAAAATAGTATGTCAAAAGATCAGTTATTCCCTTGATACCGCTATAACTGCATACTCTTTTGAGTCCGTTATGTGAACCAAGTACAATATGATATTTATTATTTATCTTTTATGAAGATCTATTTACCGTTTGTTGAAAAAATACTTTTGAAAAGCAATTTTTATTCAAAAATTCATAATAAATTACAAAAATTATCAATTTATGTAAACCAACTACAATGTAATATTTATTATTTATCATTTTAGAAATAACGGTGAAAAGTTTTTTTTTTATTCAATCTAATAAATAAATCGTGATCAATATCTTAGTTGTCAATTCTCATGACTATATATATATGTAAGCAAATATATGAATATAGATCCGACAGTATGAAGAAAAATATATACGGAAAAAACAAACAAAAATCCTTATATACAATTATGCTGTTTAAATGTTTTCACAGCGTCGCCCACGTGACAACAACGTGACCATGTTTTAAACGGGGCGCTGGTCTTATAAAACTTTCAGTTATTTGTTTGGATAAGTCTTGTTCTTATGTACATCGTCTTTGTCATATTGTATTGATAATGTTATAATTTATAAATATGTCCTGAAGATGGTTTATTAGACCGAAACGTCCGACGTTGACATATTAACATTAAAACAGCATAATTGTATATAAGGATTTTTGTTTGTTTTTTCCGTATATATTTTTCTTCACACACACACACACACACACACACACACACATATATATACATATATATATATATATATATATATATATATATATGTATGTATATATATAAATATTGATGCATGTTTCATTAAGTAATATAGGCAAGTTTTGTCTATTTATTTTAAGTAAATTCCTTTCATATTGTCTGATAAGCTTAATAACATTATCATTGTAAGACGAAAGAAATTCGCCATATTGATAGATGCTTTTTAATCCTATCTAAGCTTTCGGCTTACATAAGCCATTATTAAAGATGACAATTACATTTCAATATATTAAGCAATACACGGACAAAACAATAATGATAGTCTGTTTTTGTTGGATTAAAGATTTCCAAGCAACGACAAACTCGTGTATACGAGACGCGGAAGCGAAAATCGCACCGCAGCTTGTGACGTCACGCATGACCATGCGAGAGTGAAAACGAGAAGTATTAAGTATGGGAAGCCGTTGGTATAAACCAATGGCTTCTGTTATCAATTAGAGACATTTAAGAATATTTGTGATTTCATAGTTTATTTTGTTCAGGTTAGGTTTCAACCGATTTATAGCTTCAAGAATTTTTAGTTTTTGTTTATTGTTTTCATGTTTAAGTATAGTTGTGTTTTCAACGAGGATTATATATATATAAATTCATTTTCATATTTTTGTTTTTTTATTTAAATTCTAATCTTTTTTATTAATAAATTTCTCTGTAAGAAAATATTTAATTTGATACATAGTGTATTCGAACGATATACCAACCTTTGCCACAGTGTTTAGAAGAAGCTAAATATACCTAAGCTTGCGCCTTCGCTGTCTTAAGAGGCTTCTTTAACGGTTATGTAAGGCAGTGAGTTGAAGCAAATAGGACCTCGTTAGCATCTCATCGCTTACAGCTAGTCGCCATCTAAATTCGGCTCTCCTTACGCTAAAGCATCCTTATTTGGATTTGCAGTGTAAATCTGTGTTCTTTTTTTTGGCATTATTCACGCCCAACTTGTAACTTTCGCTCAATACCGAAAGCTGACCTCTCCATGTCTCTCCCATTTCAAGAAGGATAATATGCCAGACGTTGGCTAAATCTGCAAGTAGATTTTAGAAATTTAGTATCTATTGCCGGAGTTAACTCCGCCTTAATTTCCTATTTGCTCATAGGGGGCGCTCTCCCGAAACTATATATATATGCGACGAGAACCAGCCTCGTCCACTTTTTTTTATTTTGCATTTCAGACTCAAAAGTGGACTCAAAAATGTGTTCTCTCGCGGAGATTTGCGTTTTGCTCTTTTGAGAGAAACGCCATGAAACACACGCAGAAACACACGTACGTACGAACATTCATTGAAACACGAACTCTTTACGTTCATGCAAGACACACGTTACTGTTTTTGCTTTTTGTAAACCCTTTCTGTTGTTGTTTAATACATACAAGCAGCATGGCCCGTCGTTGCCCGTGCTTGATTCAAAAATCGTACGACTCATACAGCAATCGCTATCACTTGACTTAAAATATTTTTGCCCTTCCTTGCCTTTAAAGGAGTGCCCATTGCCGTGCTGATGTTGGTACATGCCTTACTTCTTGCCTATCTCACGGTGCAAATTTTTTCTAAGCTCTATACTAAACATTAAATCTGTTACGAAAAAAGAACTAAAGAAAATGAACACAAAACGATTAGATTTAAAAAAGGACGGACTCGTAACTGGAAAAATCGAATGAAAAAAGAATGTTAACAACAAATACTTTTTCACACCCAACCCAGTTCTGCGGAATCAGAATCAACGTTGAGTTTAAGTAAGCGAATGAGCCAATTGGAGTAAAGTGCCATGCAGATTTAAATTTTTCCCACTTGTGACGAATGCAGCTATTGATTTTTTTTTTGCATGCTAGCATGCTAGTTAACATTCGTGTCAGTCAGCTGTTGGCTCTCACGCTGGCCAATAGAATCTTCCTGCCTATTCGTGGCATCCAGCTATAGGCTCTTACTATCATTATCTTTATCTTTACAAGAGCCTTCTTTTCTTTTTATGTGGCATGTTCTTTCAGTTCGTAGGGGATAATGGCTCTCCACTACCCTCTATACCTTGCAGCTATAAGCACGTTCCTTCCCTCTGCTTCCTCCCCCAGAACACGTTCTGTCATCCACCTGCCCAGGTATGTCGCGCTCAGCTTTCCCTTGTCTCTCTTTCTCTCTATTCGACCCAGTAGTATCAGTTTCTCCAGGCCCTCCTTCCTCATTTATGTGTCCCAGAAACTTCAGCTGCCTCTTTCTAATGTTCAATATAAGCCTTCTCCTTGTTTGTAAACTCTCTAAGACCTCACAGTTGCTCACATGCTCGGTCCATAACATCCTTAGCATCTCCGTCGCCTCGAGTCTCTTCTTCCTCTTTGAGGAAATCATCCAACATCTCTGCCGTGAAGAAGAACAGATGTCACGTAACAGCTCAGTATTCTTTTCTTTGTTAACCATAGAAATCCTCCTGTCTTACAAGAACAAGATCAGGCTAAATTAAATTTTCACACTCCACTCTCGACAGAATTTAAAAGCGTCTCCGCGTGCTTGTAGGCGATGAATTATTTTCTACTCTGCAACCGCTTTCTCACAGACGAGACGTCATAAGCATATCACCGCTCTATCAATATGGAAAGATGAACTAGTGATTTCCCAAGCGTAGCTCAGATGTGGCACAAGGCCGAAACTATAGGACACCCAGGGAGGTTGTAACTCAATGCTCAGTCGTAATTGTTCTAGCGAGACAAGTTTGCTAACCATTACAACACCTCGAGGTTCCCAGTTCAGATGAACTAAATTCCTTAGTTCCACCAGTCTTAACCTTCAGGCGTAAGAGACGTCACGTCACGTACATTTTAGCAAACCAACCTCATTCTCTTCATATCCCTCTGGTGAGATATAAGTCCATCTCAAACACATTCTTCTCAGGAACCGATTGCTTGTGGAACCGATTCCCAAAGAGGTTGCTTCTCTGATCACGACAGCGTTAACCTGTTCAAGTCGAGGATTAACCGATATCTTCTGCACATATCCGTATAAGCTTCGTAACCGTCTACCCCGAACGGCTCACGGGCCTTGTACACGGTGATCAATTTGATCACTGTTCAATCTTCTTAATTCTTTCATATACTGTTCCTACTTCCTATTCCTAAGCAGGATTTGACTCATTATTGTCCCCCTGATCTTTTGTCCATCCGCAAAATGTTCTATGGTTATTAAATTTCCCAAGCCCTCTTTCCACATTAAAAGCCCCCACATTTTCAACTGTCTCTTTCCGATTTTAAGTATAAGGGACCATTTGTTTTTATTTTCCTTAAAACTACCTCGTTACTCTGTTATTTAGTCTCATCATCCTACTGTATGACCATATCTTTTCCGCTTCATCTGTTCATATATGCGAAAACTGTTTAGCATGCACTGTCGCATAGGAGGATAGATACGACAACGCAGTTTTAATACTCTTTTATTTGTTTCCAATGGCTCTTTCTTGCTTAATATTTGATTTTTGGAAGACATCTTACGTTATTTTAAAGAGCGTCTGGATTTCTGGGATTCATATATGTCGTTTTGACAGTGATGTCTCAGTTGAGAAAACACATTATTAAATTAAATACATATACTAAACTTCTGAATTAATCAAATTAGTAAAGCAGAACCGGAGGATGCCATATGCAACAGGATTAAATCATCAGTAATGATTTCGAACCCAAAAGGGGGACATAGTATTGATCTTGTATCAAATCTGTGATCTGAGATCATCTTTCATCTCAAATCTGAGATCCGAGATTATCTTTTATGTGCCGTGTTCCTTCAGGACGTGGGCAATCATGGCCCTCCAGATTCCCATGACTCTTGTATCTCTTATGTTTTCTTTCTTTGTTATTTCTACCGAACCCCGCTCTATCATCGATATACTCAAGCTTATCAAGTATTTTACGCGCTGATTTCTTCTATACCTCTTTCTCTCGTTCTGTCCTGTGAGTATCAGATTTTCCAAGCCATCTTTCTTCATTACG